GGGGGCCTTTGGCGGGAACGATATTGGGACGGCTGGGGACAGGTGTGGATGGAAGAAAAGGATTAAAGGACGAGACCCCTGCAATCTTGTGTCGGCTCTCCTTTACACATCTATGAAAGAGCTTCACAATTTATTTGGTTCTTCCAGCTTACATCAAATGTCTCGGTCTTTCACGGCACTCACTGTGGGCCAACATAGCACGCCAGGACTTGGAGCCATTATGGCACAAATAGTGGCTCTCATCGTCAACAAGGGACCAAAACCTCGTGGACGACTTTACGATCTGCTAGTCTGGGTTTGAACTTCAGCGCTGTGACTGAGCCCTGCTCAACAGGTCCAAAATAGCCAAAGCGTGTGTGCAGCAAGCCTTAGCAGATGGGGCTTACGCAACCAGAATTGTATCTGTGCTGCAAGAAAAACGGTAACCAAGCATAGCAGCGGTCTGAGAACACTACTGCATTTTACAAATGATGAATTTGCTGCCTGGCTCGGTGCAAATAAAGACGCGTAATAAAGTGTTGCCTTGACGACAAGTTTCCATGAAAGCACTTCTGATATTCAAACGAAATAAATGTTTAGGAAATTCATGCAAGGATTTTCAGCGAGAGCACGCCTCCTCGTCTTACTCCCTTGCGATGAGTATTTTGTTACTTAACGCAATTTGAATGTTCTGAAATTTGTATTAAGACAGAAACATCCATTATCTATCCTACTGCTGGATGATTGACTCTCCAAAGTCACTTTAACATGTAGGCTTTTGCGATCAATATTATCCATGTTTCTTCGGGTTAGATTGCATGTGTCGCTAAACCCGACACCACCTCACACAGCCAATTAAGGGTCGTCACGTAAACAAAACATGCTAATTCGTTACTAGTTCAGCACACCGGTGTGTTGGAGTAAACCCACAACATTTACAATTGGAGTTAAAAGTTTTAAATAAATTTTCAATTATTTTGAGAACAGTAAATTGCCAAAACAAATGTTAGTTTCAGTGAGGCAAAACCTTAAGAGTACAGAAAATTAAAATATTCAAATTCTTGCTGCTGATGAAGTCCGATCAACTGTGGTGATGTCTAGTGGGGATTATAATAAAATCAGATGTTTTTTAAAGGTACCTACCATGAAATGTTTACAAGACCCAACCAATGCGTTGGAATGTAAGACTACTGAAATCATTGAGCATTAATTAATGAACAAGGAAGAACAATACTTGATCAAACCAATGGCATCAAAACTGCTAAGACTTTATGGGTTGCCAAAGATTCACACACCTGGTGTCCCATTCAGGGTCATAGTAAGTACCAATAGGCTCTGCGACATATAAATTATTCACAATACATAATAAAATACAACCCTAATGACAGTCTGGTACATTTTTATGTGAATTCCCTGTTCATGAGGGTTCCAGTGAACTAGTCAATTAAATTACTCAATACTCTGGTAACTAACATAGGTTTACCAAACAACATTTACAATTGGAGTATGAAGTTTTGACATTTTTCTCAATTATTTTGAGAACAGTAAATGTTAATTTCAGTGAGGCAAAACCTTAAGAGAATAGAAAATAAAAATATCCAAATTCTTGCTGCTGATAAAGTCCGATCAACTGTGGTCATATCTAGTGGGGGTTATAATAAAATCTGATATTTTTTTTAAAGGTACCTACCGTGAAATTTTAACAAGACCCAAACAATACTGTGGAATAAAAGACTACTGAAATCATTAAGAAATTAATTCATTAACGAGGAAGAACAATACTTGATCAAACCAAGGGCGTCGAAACCGCCAAGACTTTATGGGTTGCCAAAGATTCACACACCTGGTGTCCCATTAAGACCCATAGTAAGTACAATAGGCTCTTGCGACATATTAATAATTCACAATACGTAGTAAAACAAATACAACCCTAATGATAGTCTGGTACGTTTTGATGTGACTTCCCTGTTCATGAGGGTTCCGGTGAACTAGTCAATTAAATTACTCGATACTCTGGTAACTAACATAGGTTTACCAAAATATATCCCACAATTAGCTGAGCATTGTCTAAACAACACCTATTCCTTGTGGAAAGGTGATTTCTATAAACAAAAGGAAAGAGCAGCAATGGGCTCTGCTTTGTCGTCTCCTGCTATTGCGAATCTGTACATGGAAAACTCTGAAGCAAAACCCTCTAGTTGATGTTTGTGTGTGGACGACACATGAATTGTCTGGTCACACGGTAAAGTTACACTGAATGAATTTCTAAATCATCCCAACTCGTAAAACCCGTCCATCCAGTGGATAAAACTATTTCTGGATAGTCTGCTTGGGCGTGACCGAAATGCAGTCACATCATCACCACACACATAAATCCTCTCTCAATATGCTCATACATAAGGCAAAAAAAAATGTCAGATGGTGAAAGTCTGAGGAGTGAGATTAAACATGTTAAGGCGCTGCCATTAAACAGTTACTATAATGCACATATCAACAGGACACTACATGTCAAAACTAAATCAAATATAATAAATGTTGAAATTGATCAAATTATTAAAACAATTAAAACACCATACATTGCAGGAGCTGATACACTAGCGAGATTTTTGGAGAAACAAACCATCCGAGTGAGATTTGGCATGGTACATAAAATACTAAAACTAATATCAGGTAATAAAGAAGAATTACCGAAGATATCAACAGGTGTGTACTGGATTAATTCCTCCTGTGGCCAATGCTATGTTAGTCAGATGGGACAAATGATCAGTATAAGACTAAAAGAATACCATATAAATATTAAATACTCACAAACACAACTGTGGGCAGTTGTAGAATATGCGTGCCAACAAGGACATTCAATAGATTTTTAATGTTTCGTGTAAAACTAATTGCTATTAAATTTCGATTTAAAGCTTTCGTGACTGCAGGGATTCATCTTCTTGGTTCTTTCGGTAAAGTCACGTAGTAGGGAAGTAATAAAATAAAAAAATAAAACATAAAATAATTCTCACGACGTTTCGGCCACAACGCAAGCAGCCGTCCTCAGGTGAAGAACATGTCTGTCGATAAGACAGAGTCTAAATGACACGTCTTAGGCTTGGAGTGTCTATTTAAGCTGTGAGGGACGAGGAAGAGAGCCTTGACAAAAGAATTTGCATTTGAAGAGGAATTTTGCATATTTATGGGAAATGCAGGAATGCGAATAGTGCTAATTGTGAAATGCGTGGGAGGTGGGCGGGGGGTTTTCAAAGTCATATTATGCCCATGCATTATGTAGGATTAGCAGCATCAAAGGGAGGGGGCAGGGGCAGCACCAACAAAGGGAAGGAATGTGAATAGTATGCAGCTGCAGCAACCAAACAACCACGTAAAAAAGTAAAGTATAAACTTCATAGTATCATCAGTATACTAAATATACTCTCCAATAAGCTGAGCTACTAACAATAAGCAATACATTACAATTCTATGTCGCAAAAAATATAATATGCTTCCAGCTAAACTTTTTTCTCTTACATCAAACAGGTCTGCCCCGTACTATATACTGCCATAGACAAACCCAACATTAAATTATATACTGTATTATTACTATACACCACCCTATACCTTATACATTGTTATATTGCACTATGTATTATTATACCCACCCTAATCTATATCACACTGCTATATATTCATTGCTATTGGCCAAGACTAGAGAATATATTGAAATAAATATACTTTTAACCTTTCTGATAGCTACGGGCTTATTACTGCTTGTAAGCATATTATCAAGTAATACACTGTTTAACTGCATGTCTATACAAGTTATGTTAATTACCTGTGAATTAATATATGTATTTTGAACTTTTTTCACACTGTGAGTGGCGAACCGTACTAATCAGAGCGTGGCTGGATAACTAAACATAAAAACATTCCACTGTATGTTGATTAACTGTGAGCAGCCAATAGGTACTGCATATTCTCAGAGCAACGTAATGTATGTACAGCAAACTAAACACAAAATCATTCCACTGTATGTCGATTAACTGTGACTAACCCAACCAATAATAGGTACTGCAAATTCTCAAATTAACATGATCCATTGCAATTTATATGACATTAACCCTCCTCTGGTCTTCTGATAGTCTCACAGTGATGACATCACCTTTACTTTATAGCCAGATTTGTGAAGACTTCTTCACAAATCTGGCTATTTCCTGATGAGACTGGTTGTAATCACCAGCAAAACGTCGTACTCGAATTGTAAATTGTGGGTTTACTCTCCAACACACAGGTGTGCTGTAACAACTAATTGGCACGTTTTGTTTACGTGACAAATCTTACTAATTGGCTGTCGGAAGGTGGTGGGTTTAACGACACATTTATAAACAACACTTTATTATGCAAGCTGTCACGATCTGTCTAACCCTCATGATGCAACAGACTGTTGAGCTCCTGCACCCGTGCCAATTTAATCGCTCCATCTTTGTGGTGGATGCCCTCGGGCACATTCCTTCATTTGGCTACCACTCCATTGGATCCACCACCTTCCAACATCAATGTATGTTTCTAATACATTTACTCACATTCCTGTCTCCCAGTGTAATTCCAAGTGTGCATCTCTCCATGCTTCTTTGGAAGAACACATGAATAAGAGGATATGCGCAAGTTGGTCATCATACCGACTTAAAAAAACGAGAATGGCAGAACACGTCGCTAAAAAGGAACAAGGCCAGTGCTTGAGACTAATGGCGACGTCCCCAAAAGTACGACCACCACAGATGGAGCAATAAAAAATCGTCTCGTGTGCAGGTGCTGGGTGTATTGTTGCATCGCACAATTCTGAGTTGTGGCTGCAGCTTGGGGAGGCCTTCATCCAGCAGTGGACTGACCATGGCTGATGATGCAGGAAAGAGTTTAGCACAATAAAGGGAACCATAGTGTTACAACATAGCAATTTTTACTTTGAGAACTGATATTTGTTGCTATATGCATATCTTATAACGTGAAAATGTTTGAATAAAAAAGTTAACTGCAGTATATGCAAACTATTTTTTTATTTCATCCCAAAAATTGGCTGACATTTCTGTTAGAGGTAAATACAATCACAAACCCATTTAAGAGCAGCACAAGGAATCAAATACTGGCCACATAAAGTCCTCTCCCAAAGTGATTACCATACTCGGTGTGACAATAGCAACGAGCCACCCTATTTCTATAAAGCAAAGGAAACACAAACTCACGCAGTACAAATGCGTATTCAAAAGACATAAACCACAAACACATTGAGTTCATAGGAAATGGCAATTGGTTTTATACTTCAAGCTATGGTCAGGTCAGAAAAGTAGAATTTATTTTTTGGTGATAGTCAAGACATACTGCAGTTATTTGAAATGGCTAATTATGATAATTTTGTTACAGATCACCAGTGAGAATTGTTCTGAGCTCTACAATAATAATTGCCAATGACAATTAAACATTTTTGGCCGTATTGGGTGGTGGAGGGTCTTTACATACATTTTATCAGATCATTATGTGGTGGCTTAACCCACAAAATCAACGATGAATATAAAACGAAGTGTACCAACGGCCAAACATACTTCCGTAGCCTGGCTGTTTTACAAGTTATCTTTCCCACACCAGTGATCCAATGTAAATAAGCAGACAATACACCTCCTTCAGAGCTCTCTCTCATACACAATGCATCAGTCACGTGGCTGTTTAGATGCTAATTATTATTCTGTATTGTCTTCCATAATAGAAGATTTTGGGTTGGTCGTGAAAGCCTACGTGTTAAATCTGTATTGTCTATTATATATTTTTGCAATGAATTATGACCCATACCGAGAGGATCCTTGCATATGGCATCTGGCAGTTCACCAGCATTGGATCAAGCAAGCCTGACTGCTAATGGGACGTTGAATGTAAAAACTAAAACAGTTTGCTTTTGTTTAAACAATGCTACTAATAGTATGCACTCCCAGAACGCTGTGGCTGAAGGGATGTGTAAAAAATACTTGTATTTTTCATATGGAGGGATAGATATGAGGTATCTTGTTTGCTTATTTATTTTACATTTTATTCTCCATGATACCTTTAATTATTACTTGGCGGTATAATTAGTGTTGGAGTGTTTGATGCTGACATGGTGTTCCTAAGTTAGCGGATCGGTGCCCAGCCCAACTGGTGCACCGCGAAGCAGACCGAAGTTCCAAGCAGGCCAAGCAGCCCCAAGTTACCGAACATCCCGCGCATTCGCTTCCTCGGGTCTGTGAGAGGAGAAGAGCGTTTCACTTAACAAGTGTACATTCAGATAATTGAATGTTCAAGCCAATACAATTATTACAATTCCATTTACAGCAAAATTTACATATCATGGTAGTTCTTATACTACACCCAAGTTCAGGACAAATTTGATTCCTAAACAATCGAGTCTGGTAGACCCTACTAGATTGACATTTCTCTTTCATCCATACTCTGTTCAACCACCACACAGCAGGTCACAACTCACTTGCCCAGTCACCCACTCACCCACTTTCACTCACTCACTCACTTTCACTCACCCACCCACCCACTCACTCGCTGTGGTTACTGTTCCCATGAACTTCACTCATTGATTCCTCCTCCCATGTTGAGGACAAGACTGTTTTGTCTCTTCCAGTGTTGACTCATTATACTGCATATGGCAACAACAAACGCACTTACCCACCTACTCACTGACTGAACACACTTATCCAATCTCACCCACTCACTTAACCAATCACTCATCCACTTCTATCGCTATAATGATTGCTGTTCTGGTCATTTCACTCGTTGATTCCTTGACTGGTTTCAAGGTCTTGGTCTACCAGGCTGACTTTGTTTTGTATCACTTGGTCAGTGATGAAAATACTCTTACCACCTGTGGAGTAGCCATGAGCAAAAACGAACCGGCCAAGGATCCACACACCACCCAGAGCGCTGGAGATCCGCTAGAGAATGGAAATAAAAATGTAAAATTAAATATTACATCACATACATTTCACCATTATCAGGCATGGTCAATCCACTGCTGGATGAAGACATCACCAAGCTAGTGCCACCTCTCATGATCCTGCGAATGCAGCAATCTACCCAGCCCCTGCACACGAGTTGATTTCATCCCTCTTTCTCCGAGGTGGATATCCTCTTCGACGCTTTAAATTCCTTGGCTGCCACTGTTATTAATCTTGGCGATTGTCCCATCACCCATTCTAGCCATGACGCGTCCTGCCCAAGCCCACTCGCAACTGCGGTGGACGAACAGTACGCACGACGGTGATACACGGATGTGTTGGCAGGGCGGAGGAACTGGGGCAAGGATCATGGAAGACCCCATCTGGAAGCCCCTGGAACCTGCTAGTGGGTTCGAGAAGGGAGGTGCAGTCAGAGGGGAGCCAGGCCACACTGGGGAGCATGAAGGCAGCTGAGAGTGGGAGCTTCATGGCTGCCGGTTCTGTAAGTGACCTCGTCTCGTCGCTGTCGCCTTCGCCGCCTTCGTCACTGCCGTCTTAACTAGATATTGCGCGGCCGAATAGTTGTTGGCTGTCTCAATCGGTACCATCAGTGTTACATGGTCAGGGTTGTGTTTAGGCTAGGCTAGACGACTAGGGAGAGTGCGAGGGCAAACCTGTGAACCTGTGAAGGCGTTAATAAAGAAGGTGCTCCTGATAAACCTTGTCTCCTGCTCCACTGACAATACAGTAGTTTAGATGACACTAACCTGCGAATGCTCTTTAATCCACGTTTCCGTTTCTGCCTCGCAAGTAATTGGAGGTATCATTTTACTTCACTGTGAACTAATAGTTTCTAGTTTTAAACCAGGATGTGCATGTATTTATTATTATGAGTCATATACGAGTTTGCCGAACAAAATTAAATACATTTGGGGATAAAAAACAAAACAGAACAGAGCATGAGCAGGTGAACAAGAGCAGAGTGGACTGCTTTTTGAAAAAATGTATTTAAAAATAAATTCAACATAGCAATGTGTTAAAAGAGGAGTTTTCATGAAGTGCACACCGTCTACGATGACATTATCATCATAAGTAACCATTGATAATGCTGTGGGTGTATTAACTGTAAAATATTACGCACCATCTGCTTCTCTCACAGTGGACATTAAAGAACCCATGTGCCAGCGTCACGGTTCAAATTGATAAATTTACACTGCAAATGACTCAATTGGTATTACACATTGCAACATCGTCCCCCACAGTGAAACTACTGCAGACTGTGCCTGTAACGATGAGAACCGTATGCAATACGAATGATAGCGCCAATAGCAAAAATGTACGAATGATCATCATTGAATGGTCAATCCAGCAACAGACACAGTGATGCAGGCAAGGCAGAGCAGTGGTGAACACGTACTGGATGCTGCAGGCCGCCCGTCATGAGGAGGAATAGGAAGACCGGGTAGCCCTCCAGCCTGCACAACACAACAACGCGATGCAATGTTTTAACAGGGGGTACGCAATGTGATATATTGTTATTCGTGATCTTACTAGTGAAATGAGTCGTCAACAGTGCAGTATGGAAGACTCGGTCTGCCAGACTCTACTGTGTTTTACTACTGCAATTCAGGTTACAAAAATACACTCGTGCACTTACTCATCCACCCACTCACCAACTCACTTATTCACACTCACCGAACACCTCATCCACTAAAAGATCCATTAGAAAATGTCATGACTGCTGTTCTTGATGAACTTCTCCCCATCTGAACAATCAAAAAGAGAACAGGGAAAGCGCGCGGTAACTGGCTGTCACCGGAGGCGATCGCAGAGAAGCAGATCCGGAGGATGCTGCAGTGTCTCTGGAAGAAAACTGGTTTGGAGACTGTCCTCCTCGCTTTCAGAGCCACCTGCAGATCTGGCTCATGACCCCAATGCTTTGGGGCGCGTCGTGAAGTGTCTGCCGTTTTCCAACTACCCATTGACTAATAAACTCAGTCTGTGCACGGAACTTACCATGTTCTTTTCCAATAAAATAGTGATGGTAAAGATGGCAGTTTCTAACTCGAAGGCAACACATTCTCCCAGTCTGCCATCTGAGTTTGAGAAATCTGGAACCAATGCAAAACTCGAGACCTTGGCACCAATGTCAGTGGCAGAGGTGTCGATGCTCATCACACAGCTGCCAAATAAGACATCGGCACTCGACTACATCCATGCGTCGATTCTCAAATCATGCTCGGGTGTGCTTGCGCTGCTGATTGTCCACCTGGGAAATCTTTAGTTCAGCGAGGGCTGTTTTCCAGACTGGTTCAAAATGGCGCAGGTAACACCGCTCCTGAAAAAAGCTGGCTTGAGCCATAGTGACCCCACAAAGCTTTGTCTGAAGCAGTTACTTCTCCATGTCATTGCGACGAGGAGATTCAACCTGTTCAAATTGGCGTACCAAAAGTTTTACAGCACTGAGATGGCTTTAATAATGATCACTGATGATCTCTACAAGATCACAGATGACTGGTTTGCCACAGCGTTGGTTGGTCTCGATCTCTCAGCCGCCTTCGACACTATCGACCATGAGATACTCATCGGGTGGCTAAGGTCAAGGTATCAGATATGGCCGATCACAGTTCGATCACAGTTCGTCAAGCTGGCTGACGAAGTCATCACCTATACCATGCCTATTTGGCGTACCACAGGGGTCCATTCTCAAGCCCTTCGTATTTTCAACATACTGCTCTCCAATTGCCGAAGTAATCTTATCGCATGACATCAAATTCCATAAATATGCTAATGATACACAATTGTACACCATAGTGAAGTGAAAGTTAGATATAGAGAGCCTCGGTAACCTCGAAGATTTCACGGCAGCAGTGCTCGTGTGGTTTGCACAAAAGGGAATGCTGCTTAATCCAGGAAAATCTGAGGTTCTGCTGGTTGGCACTTGGGCTCAGGCGAAATCATTTGTGGGAAGAGCTTCGGCACCATACTCGACCACATTCAGGTCCTGCAATTGTCTTATCACGGCTCTACGACACATTCGGCCACTGTTGAGTCGTAACATAACCAATATGGTGGCATGTAGCATAGTATTGACAAGGCTCGATTACTGCAACTCACTTCTCTATGGGATGTCTGGAAAAAATATTATCAAGCTATAGCGTGCACAAAATTTCGATTTCAAGCTTTCGTGACTTTACCGAAAGAACCAAGAAGGTGCAAAAAATTATTTGGCACGTGTCATGACGGGTACAGCAAAGATCCGACCATGTCCGTCCGGTGCTTGCCGAGCTGCATTGGCTTTCAGTTGCTGAACGAATACATTGCAAGGTCACGCTCATTACACACAAAGTGCTTGCCACAAATGAGCCTCAAATGAACCACAATACCTTGCTAATCTTGTCAGGGAGCATAAACCATCACGCATACTCAAGTCATTCTCGCAGCACCTTTTGGCTAACCATTTAACAAAGACGGTTACGGCATCGCGTGCTTTCAGATGCACTCCTACGGCCATCTGGAACACTCTTCCTTCCAATATTGGGATACCACTTGAACTATGCACTTTTAAATCTAAATTGAAAACTCATTTCTGTAGCGCTGCTTTTTGTGTTTAGTTTAATGTTCTTCCCCTGCAACTCCGATTAGCATGGTTGGCTACATACAGTGTGAAACAATTTAAACATACATACATATTCACTCACATCCACTCACTTAATCATTCACACATTCATCCACTTATTCACACACTTACCCACTCAACCACCACATTGCAGGTCACCATATTTTTCTTTCTGCTTCTTCCTCACACCGCTTCACTTAGTAATCCCACGGTCTCTTTTCCCAAGCCCTTATAACCTTGCTCAATTCAAGAAATGTGTTAACACTTGAATCATATGTGATTTTTGGGTTAGGCCACCAAATGATCTGGACAAATTTGTACTGTAAAATTCTCAAATATCCAGCACAGCCAAACAAATAAAACGATCACTTATACAATCTTTTAACATACCTATTATTCTTATTGGTTCTTTTGGTAAAGTCGCGTAGAAGGGAAATAATAAAATTATAGAAATAAAACATAATAAAATAAAAAATGCCTATTGTTTCCACTTCCTGGTAAGTTTAAGCACAATTCTCTGAATCAAATGTATCAATTAGATAAGTGATGTTTGGTCTGAAATTGCATCAAATCTTATCAGGACAAGATTCAGGAAGTCAGATTAAGTGTGTTAACTGACCTGCCTTTTTAAATAGGTGTCAAGACCTCACAGCAACCAATGAGATTTAAATAATGTATGAACTGTTAAAATGTATTATACTTTTATTCTAATTTATGTGGGCCATATATGAGAGCCTGGTTTTGTGGCTATAGCCTTTGAAATGTGTAAGTTGGAACAAACTCCTACTGCAGCAAATAAAAAAATCCTCTTCACTAACCTGCTTCCATTGACTCTCTCAAAACCCATATTCTCTCTAGCACATCCTACTACTGCTACTTCCTGCCCCTGTCGCGCAGCTGCAACCAGGCCTACTCCTATCACTACCCCGATCACTACCCCAACCCCTATCACTACCCCAACCCCTCCTTAACCACTGCCACTTGTTATCCTGTCACCATAACTACACCATTTTAATAACCCAAGTCTTTTTCTCAAACACTATCATATTATGTACAATTTTATATTTGTTTGTAAAGCGCCTTAGAATGAGGCCTTACAGTCTGTACAAGTTAAAGACAACAAGGGCAATTTCAAAATGTTCACCCCACTGCTCCACAGTTATTAGTGTTTCCAGGCAGGTCTCCTGGGTTTTCCTGACAACTTCCCAGGTTGTTCTCAAGAATTATATTGTGAGACTGGGTGCAGGATACTCCCAGCCTCATCTTGAAACACACCTCCATTCTCCAGCCCCAGATGGTTCTTCCCCCCATAAGATGGCACCTCCTCCTTTTAGATGGTGGACTCTTCTACAATGTCCTCTGCCACCAAAAATATTCTACCACAGAAATCTACTTCTGCAGGTTATGGCTTTCCACCGCTATTTATTTCAAATGTTATGATAGATGGTTACTTCTTAACAATGAGATTATTACATGGCATAACCCAAAATCAATTATGAATCAGGATATTGGCTAAGAAAACTTACTTGAGAAATTAACTACAGATTTGTTTACAGGAGCAATCGCCAAAATAAAAGTTACTCACGTATTTTGGTGGGCACGCTGAATGCAGTTGAATATATGGCCATGTTCCGGATCATTGCTGTACATTTCTGGGTACTGTAAGAAAACACACAGTATGACAATGCAGTTAGTTGCTGGACGCATGTGCATCAGCTTAATAAAGAGGTGCCATATACTCTACGACTACCTCTTCTTTTTCTGTACAAATATCCGAGGAAGTTTATTTAAGAGAATCGTTAAGCACAGGCCCCCCCCGAGCCCTGTGTCTTCATATCTGCTTCTATTATGTGGATTAAATTCACCCTCTCTACTGTCAAAGTCCACCCATCTTTCCCTAATGTGGAAATATAGTTTTTATTCCAACACGTCTCAAACGGCCATAAAAAGGTAAAAGGTGCAGCCCTGCAATTGCTTGCTCACGCCATTGCTGGCAGAAGGGCCTCCACTAGAGGGCGCTCCACAGGATCTAGTACTGTAATTCCCCCATTGTTTAAGTGTATTGTAATATATTCCATAACAGATGCTTAAAAAATACACATTGTTGTATACTGGACACAAAATACTTTTTTTTTAAACTATGACATTCAAGAAAAAAATATTGACACAGACTCAGAAGGTCAATATTTTCCATCGGCAGTTTTGTGGTCAACACCGTTGATTTTTTTCGATTTTATTCATGCTTGTTTAACCAGAAAAGCCTCACTGAGCCTCAAGACTCTTTTTCAGGAGGGTCCTGCCAAGTTTTCTCGTTTGGGGGTGATGTTGTTGCTGTTTGTAATCCCAATTGAGTAATTTGCAGGTCATTTCAGCTTCGGGATGTTTGGCCAAAACCAGTGACACTGTATATTTTTTAACTATGGCAGTAAACTGAAAAGCCCTGAGAAAACCCATGTAGAATAGGGGAACATACAAATTCCACGGAGAAATGTACCCAAGTCAGGAATCGAACAAAGTTATTCTTGCTATGAGGCTCTAGAGTTAACACTTCTGCCCTCAGCGCTATAACTTAAGAGTACAAAGCCAGTCGAAGCGAATGATGATGCACATTTGGCAATGAAATATATTTGCTTTTGCTCATTTAATAAATGTGCATGCTTTGCATTGGAACTGGGGCACATAACCAATGCTTGTGAAGTTGCACGCCTAGCCAAACTAAATGTCGCTTAAATAGCACATTGCATATTTATCCAATCAAAACAGCACGAGTACATTTGGTATTCGTGCTGTTCGAATAATGAAGGTCGATCTGCTTCACAGTCGGCAGTGGTTTCCCAATAGGAGGTGACGTTGCTATGTATTTTCTCAATTGAGTATTTTTTTTCAACTTTGGCAAATTTGGACCATGTTGGCGGCACATAATGACCTCCTTGTTTCCAATGATGTTACGGGATCTTTTTAAACGTCCGCTGTGTAGCAGACGGCACTTATTGCATGGTTAATGCACATCTTCACAATATTTACCAGTGTTTCCTGCTGGAATCAAACTAAAAATCTGCAACAAGCTGGGTCATGTCACCAGCATAATTTCTTATTATTGGTGGTCAATGGCTCTACTATGTACAATAGCGAATGTAGGAAATAACTCTCCACTGTGCAGATAACAAACTAAACATTTTCAATGTAGAGATACGCATTTAAACCAGAGCGATGGCTTCTGAAGTCACTTCGAAGTCAAAATTCAGACTCCACTTTTGACTCGGCATTAAGTCTACAGGGAACCATCAAACCCCTCCCAAGAAGAATAAAGTATTCATTTTATAAAGCGTTAGCCATACAAATTGTATCTCAAAACACTGTAAAATAGAGTGAAATTTTCGCACAGAAACCACAGGCATAGTGGAGGGCAGCCAGAACCAGTACCAACATTTGCTCGAAGCTTTGTGTTGCTTTATTTGGATGTTTGGCCGACTCCAGTAATGAGTGTTTGTGCACGCGAGGAAAGCACCCAGAACTTCCAGGTCATCAAACCCATATTTCTCACATATTTACATCACTTCAACAAATAACTGCGTAACAAAGCTGTTAGCAAACTGCCCGACGAACTAGGCCTGTAAAACGGTATCTGAGAAGCCAGTTTCAAAAGTCAGGAGCTGGTATCCGCTGCCAGTGGAACTTTAGTAACGAATGCACCGATTGGTACACAAGACCATATAAACCGCACGGCAGGCGAAGTCACCTTGTGGCCAAAGCCGAGTCCCCTTGTGCCACATAGGGACAATTGTCCCTAGGGGTCTCCTTCGGATTGTTTGAAATTAGATGTGATGCAAGGCGCTTTGAGCTGTTTAAACAATCACCCTATGATGAAATACAGAGGTATCATGAATATGTAGTGTTGTTCTTCTGGGGTAGAACATCATCACACACGAAAAAAACATGCAAACTCACCAGCACTTTATACTTCCTACGAGCCATGCCAACCCGTATGCCCAGGTAAGTCACCAGCAAAGTGCTGGCAACACCTGTCAACACCACACAGCCATACTCCTTTGACAGCACAACCATCTGGAGAAAGAGTCTTATGATTAGTGCATAAATTTGAAGCATTTTTATACGGCCATTCATAACCACCACCAGTAACAACAAAAACCCAGCTCCACACACTATATACAAATATACTTCAAACATTTTGTGAAACATTGTTTAGATTGTTATTTTCTTGTGTAAATTAAACTCGTTTAGATATTTTTATGGAGGTGTTTATATTTGTTTTACGTAACCTAATAGTTGCACCTTAATGTTGGGATTGTTTCAACATAGTTTCTTTACCATAAGGCATCGTATATGAAGTTTCATTGAACTGAATGGACTATCTTCATATTGACAGCACATTGTGTAAAAACAACCGTACAGTTGTTGTATTCATAGTATTATTACACTTCATTTGGAGGTTTTGGGATACGACCTACATTAGCCAGGGTACTACCATTAAACTCAACAGTTTTTATTTGAACATATGAAGCCCACTGAGCTATTATCTATTTTTCAGAAGCGACGTGGCCACAAATAATAGCTAAACGAAGTGAGCTTATGTGGGAACTTATAGCAGCTAAACAATACATAAACGCATGCTTCTAAATGTGGAGGAACCGGAGAAAATTTCAGGCCACCACAGGGAGGTAGAGAAAGAGAACGCAAACGCTAAATATACAGAAGGCGTCAGGGACGGGATGGAACCCACGAGCACCTGTATACCATGCGAGGTAGTTAACACCTCGCCACCGTAGCGCCCCCTTATGAGAATGCGTGGTATGAAAAAAAATAGGTTTTTACCCTATCTGGCAACAGGAGTTTTGTTAAAATGTTCAAACACCAAATAGATAGCTTTGCAAGGAATAAAGTCTGCATTAACCACACGAACTGGTGACAAAAACATGCAAACACACTTGCTCCCATAATCTATGCATTGACTTTTGATCCTGGGAACAGAAACAAGTCCCATTATATAGAATGAGTGAGTGGTGTCCGTTAGAGCCGTACTCCTTTCTGTCTCCAGAGCGTTTCACACGCGACAAGCGTCACGATGGCTAGATGTTAACTTCCTCGCCTGGTATACAGGGAGGTCGTGGGTTCGACTTCGACCCTGACACCCGTATATTTGGAATGTGTCTCTCTCCCCGTGGTCGTGTGAATTTTTCTCCGGGTCCTCTGATTTTTTCCCCCTCCACATTTAGAATCAACAACATATGTTTAGATTATTTGACTGCTATAGATTTCCACGTAACGATAAGCCACTTTGTTGAGCTATCATTTGTGGCCAGGTCGCTTCTGAAAAATATCTACGTAGCTCAGTGGGCCTTGACCTTGGTAAAAAAAGTTAAGTTTTAGTTCAATTAGACTTATATTTCATCTCAACATACTGTATTTGAGACGGCACCCCAAAGTGGCAGCTGTCCCTGTGCCGCACGAGGGTGACTCAGCACCTGGCCCGTGAGGCGGGAAGTCGTCTGCTGGCAACAGGGGGCGATGATTGCTGCTGTGTGTCGTGTATTGACTCACTGACTCGTGAACAATAAACTCTCGGCTTTAAACCCCACAGTATGCAGCTGTGAGCAGCCACTGTCTCACGAAGAGCACTCAAAATGTTTCAATCGTAAAGAGTCACTTCCAATATATCGAAAAACGTGTCACTCAAGTCAGCATATCTAAGTGTTTTTGAGGGACAAGAGTATACACATAATATACTGAGACACATACTCTCCGTGTACCCCACACAGGCTGCTGTCGGGGCAAGTGCTGTTGGCGGAGCACCTATGAGGGCCGAAACGAGCGGTCGGTCAGTCGACATTGTTTCGCCGCTGCCGCTGCGCACAGCGCCCGGCGCGCATTGCAACGCTGACCCGGCGAAGGCCCAGGTCCGGTGCTGATATTCGCCACTCGTGTTTTTGACTTGAGCGGTAATCGACCTCGGGTGGTCAGGCTCGTAGTGCTAATCACTGCGCCACCGCTCCCTATACTAGAGAGATGGGGGGTGAGGGTGACTCGCTCGCTCAAACGCGGGCGCCGCGCTTGTCCTACCGTGTCCACCGCTGATGCTGCTGCTGCTGCCAAACGCTGGAAGCCTCCCAAGGTGACCCCCAGCATGGGGGCGGGGCTCTTATGACGCCCCCGAGCTGGGGGCGTCACAAAAGCCCTTCTCCCCCTCCTCCCCTGCCCGCATTAACCCCCTCCCCCCCCCGCTTCCCCCTCCTCCCCTGCCCGCATTAACCCCCTCCTCTCTTCCCCCCCCCCGCTTACCCCTCCTCCCCTGCCCGCATTAACACCCCTTCCACCCTCCTCCCCGGGTTCAGAGCCCAGCGTCACCATCAGTACCAGATTTCGACTCTCCCCAGCACGTTTAGAGCAGCGAAACGCTACAACATTTCCCTTCTTAGTGGTGAGCGCACACCACTTGACTTGCACTTTAAAGAACGCAAGTTCGATTCTTTCTCCTGTCGCAGCAGTTGAATGTATGAAAAATTCCACTGCTATTAGAATCAGAATCGTAATTTATTATAGAGTAATCCGATGCCCTATGAAGCTCTTTTTTACAGATTTCCAGTAGGGGCTGATCAGTAGTGGTGGGTCAATTATAATTGTACTTCTATTTTATCTGGGCCAGTGATTAACCAATGCATTATTCATTATAACTACTCGTGAGTATACGAGCCTATAGCAGGATAGCATTGCACAATTGTAGTTGCTAGTGAAAGGGAGTCTGTAGAGGCTGCTCGCCTCTGTCTCCATCGTCCCCTCCGTATCATTACCCCCTTGCTGTCTGGTGGGGTCCGGACTTTCGTCCCCCATCTGCTCCCTATCCTGTACCCCCGTGAGTGCTGCGGATCGTGTGTGCATGCTCCCCCTGCGCTGATGTTGGCCGCGGAGCGCAAGTTGCCGCCGCCGTGCGCGCGAGATAAACAGCACGACAATGCGCAGCCGATTACGCGCTCGAGCCGCGGGGTTGGGGGTCAGGGGCCCACCACCGCGCCGCGAGTCCCAAGAATGACCTGATCTCCGTCAGGTTCCTCGGCCGCGGCCAATCCACTACGGCACGCACCTTCTCGGGATCGGTGCTCACCCCTGCCTCGCTGACTCGGTGTCCGAGGTACCCCACCTCGCGCTGCGCAATGTAACACTTACGCGGCTTGAGCTTGAGATGGGCTGCTCGCAGTCGCTGGAATACTTCCCGCAGCCTGGACCAGTGTTCGGACAGCGACCTACTGAACACTATTACGTCGTCCAGGTAAATCAGGCACTGTTCCCACTGCAAGCCCCGCATCACCAACTCCATCAACCGCTGGAACGTCGCGGGCGCGTTAGTGAGTCCGAACGGCAACACTCGAAACTCAAACAGGCCCATCGGGGTGGTGAATGCTGTTTTTGGCCGATCCTCCTCCGTTATCTCCACCTGCCAGTAACCGGACGCCAGATCGAGGGTGGAAAAATACCGCGCTCCTGCGAGACTGTCGAAGGTGTCGTCGATGCGTGGGATGGGAAAAGCGTCGCCGAGGGTGACTGCGTTCAATTTTCGGTAATCAACGCAGAACCGAGTCGATCCGTCCTTTTTCGTTACCAGTACCACCGGGGCAGACCAAGGGCTCGCGGAGGGCTGGATTATGTTATCGCGTAGCATATCCGTGACTGCCTCTCTGATCTGGGTCCGTTCAGGCGCGCCCACTCGGTATGCGGGGAGTTTGATGGGCTCGGGCCGCACCTGTGTCAATTTGGTGCTTGACCAGGTCGGTCCGGCCCACGTCCGAATCGTGCTCACTGAACACGTCGGCGTACTCCCGCAATAACCCGGGCAGCTGATCGGCCTCCCCCTTAGGTAAGGCTGCCCAAGGCACATGTAACGCATCCTGCAGTGGAACAATCTCGGCTCGGGGGGTCGGGCCGACCCGCCAGGCCAGATCCTGGCTGTCCTCGGGGCGGCCAGGGTCCTCCGCCCAGAGTGCGAACACCGAGTCGTTCGAGTGGCGAGCGTGCAGGGGGTGTACGGTGGCTACCGGGGTGCGTCGTCGTATCATTGCCGGGGTACTGTGTGGGTTAAACACACGCATAAACAGCCGGCCCCCATCTGCGTTTACCAGTGTGGCTGACCCTACCACCCCGTATCGCGATGCCAACTCCGGGTGAGGAGTCAGCATTACCTCGCCCGATGGTCGGTTGGTTGGGTCAGTGGAGAGGGTTGCCACTGGCACCAGCATCTCGGCGAGAGGCCTGATGGTGACGGCCGACACCAGCATAGCGGCCACGGGTGTGAAGCGTGGGCGATTCGGCTCCTGTCCTAGGAACGGAATCCGCTCCCCGCTGCCCTCCACCGTAGCGCATCGTTGCCGGGGCTGTACGTTAAGTCCCAACTTTTCCAGGAGGTCCGTTCCTGCAATGCACTCGTGGCACAACACACTCGAAACGTAGAATTCCTGTGTGCACACCTGGTTTCCTAGACGGACCTCGAAGGAGACCTTCCCCAGCAACCCCATCCCGGCTCCGCTTGCCGTGTGCAGCGCGCGATCCGGGGCCTGCAGGCAGCCCACGTCCACCCCGAGCATGCTGCAGTGCGCGGCGCTCATGAGAGAGGCCACGGCGCCCGTGTCCAGCAGGATCCGGGTGCGCTGCCCGTTCACCTGGCCTTCCACCAGCGACGTGGCTCCCGTTATCCCTGCCACCAGCTCCCGCAGCCAATCGCCCGAGGTCCCCGCGCCCTTGGGTGTTGTCGTTGTAACCTGTTTATGGATCACTCGCTCGCCATTATTACCGTCTTTTTGCATCGGGACCGCTTCGATTGCACCCCCAGATGGTCCACTCTCTAGGGGGCGTTGGGGTTTAACCCCGGCACGTTTCTAGCGCGGGCGATCTGCGGACAGTCTCTCACGAGATGCCCTCGCCGGTCACACAGGTAACACGCACGGGGGGCCGTCCCGTAGGAGCCCCCCCGTCCGTTCCCTATCCCCCCTCCGGCACGCCGCTGCCCCGACTCTGCCTCTAGTCGAGCCACTCTCCCAGTTAATCCTCCTACCTCGGCCTGGACCGTCTCTACCATTGTCTCCAGCGCAGTCATGTGTGCCCGTACTTGGGTTACCTTGGTGTCTACTTGGGTTACCCTGTCGCCTACCTGGGTTACCTGGCCGGAGACATCCTTTATACCCGTTTGTATACCGGCAACCCATCCCGGGGTTGTCTCGCGGGACACTGGAGGCTCTCTTTCCCGGCCCCTTACCGTCCTCGCGAGCTCCTGTTCCTCCTCCTCGTCTTCCGAGAGCAGGCTCGCAATGGCGCGCTCTCGTCCCAGCCCCCGGAGCTGCGCGCGTTCGCTGTGAATTCTTTCACACTTACGTGCGCGCTCGACAAGGGCGTTAAAGGGAAGACGTGGGCAGCTCATGTCTGGCTGCCACCACGCCGTGCGAGACAGGTACCGCTGGATTTTCTCGGCGGCCAGTTCCTCAATAACATCAGTTGCGTACCCCGGGCGTGCGATCTTTGTTAACTCGCGCACATCCTCAGCGTAATCACGTAAATCCTCGCCAGGTTGGCGACGGCGCGCCTCTAAGGCCGATTTTGCTTCCTCCTCGTCACGCGTGCCAAAACACTGATCGAGTCGGCGCATCAGCTCCTCTAGCTGTGGTCTGTGCGCTCGCGGGTAACGCTTCTACAAAATCGGCTGCCCGCCCATCAAGATTCATATTAAGTTGACGTACTGCCTGCGCGTCCGTCCATCCATTAATTTCCTTGGCCCCTAAGAGATTGCGGGCGAATGCCTTCCACGAAGGGGCCCCCCGGCCGGTAAATATTAGTCTTATTTTAGCGTGAGGTAACGCGGGGGTCCGTACCGCTTCTGATACCAATTTGTAGAGGCTGCTCGCCTCTGTCTCCATCGTCCCCTCCGTATCATTACCCCCTTGCTGTCTGGTGGGGTCCGGACTTTCGTCCCCCATCTGCTCCCTATCCTGTACCCCCGTGAGTGCTGCGGATCGTGTGTGCATGCTCCCCCTGCGCTGATGTTGGCCGCGGAGCGCAAGTTGCCGCCGCCGTGCGCGCGAGATAAACAGCACGACAATGCGCAGCCGATTACGCGCTCGAGCCGCGGGGTTGGGGGTCAGGGGCCCACCACCGCGCCGCACTTACGCAAGTAACGAGCACACGCACGATCGCACAAAGCTAACAGCTTCAATGCGCACAGCGGTTTCGCACACGCGAGCAGGGCACACGCCGACACAACGACTCGTCCCCTCCCGCACTCGCACGTGTACGTCAACACAAGTATCGTACAAGGACGATTCTCCTCTCACACGGCTGCGTAGGCACGCAAACACACAAAAGCGCTCTCCCTGGCCGTGCGATCACAGCGCGCTCCGGCGCCGCGGCTCGCGGGTTCACCGTGTGCGGCTTGCGGGTTTTACCGAGCGCGGCGTGCACACACGCGAGCGACGCCCACGCTCGAGCGAGGGCACATAAAACCCCCCTCTTGCGCGGCCGCGCGTTTATACAAATACACTGTGCGCTCCCCGGGCGTCAACACACACACCTCCGTACCCGCACAATCGTACAGAGACCACGGCCTTTACGCATACAACGACCACACACCCGCGAATGCAGCGCACGTTAATACCACGTGCAAAAATACCCAACAACACGGTTTTATTACTACGCTCGAGATTTTATTAGCCCTTGTTAACCAACCGAGCCACCCGTGTGTGTGTGCGGGCCAGCAAGGCGCTTCTAACCCACACTCTGGTGGCGTGCAGCCCTATTCTATGCTGCGCTCTCTGTTAAACTCCTTTCCTCTCGTCCTTACCCCGAACTAACCCTTCTCCTACGGATCCTACTTTCCGCTCTGAGGTGTTGTAAGGCGCGTAATACGATACCGTCTGTAGTCCTTGGTGGCCTTCCGGCGCTCAGATCGTCCTGCAGACAATCTAGCGGTTCGCCCGATCACTCCCTCGTCGCTGACTCCGTGTCACCACTCCAGAAGAAGACCCCTCCCCTACTCTGCCTTCTGTCCTTTATCCCATTCACATCAAAGGCTAGGCGCCCCCGTCCCAACCGCCTTGGTCTCTCGACCAATCCCCTAAGCCTAGGATTTCCCGCCCTTTGGCGATCCCGCCGGTTTTTGACCTTTCTGACCCGTGTTTGTGTTTGTCTGCGTTTTTAACTGCGGGGCTCTCTGAGCTCGCCGTGGTCGTGCGATCTCAAATCCGCCCACGGCGCCGCAGTGTTACTTGGCCTGGGAAGGGTCCTGTCAAATTCCCTGGCCCTGAGAAACCGTGGGGTAACCCCCCGAGGGGGCCCTCGGGTGAAAACTCAGGGTAGGTGACCCGACCACGAGGCCCTACGTGGGTGCGGGTGCGTGCTTATGTGGGGGGGGTGATAGGGGGAAGTGCGGTGGGGGAAGCCGGGCGGCTCCCTGGCTCGGCAGAGCGGCCCCGTCGCTGTGGCACCACAAGTCCACATGAGTCGTCGTGGAAAGCGGACCTTATTGTTCCAGCAACACAACTCACACCCACTCGTAGGAAGCTCTTCCCAGCCAAGCCCCGCGCACACGTCACACTCCCCTTCATATATCCTCCTCCTCGTTCCTCTAAACCTCCTTTACATCAACACTGTCCCTTTGTCTTTTTCTCCACCTCTCGCTCTCCCTTTATTATCCTGCCAAATATCTCCCAAGTCCTCAGCCAATCGAATGCAGTCTCCCGCCTGGCTGTCCCAGCTATCGTTCATGCCCTTACGTGACTCTTAGCTTACTTGAATGTGTCCTTACACGACCTTTACATGGTGGAACTATTTTAACGGATTTTGGTCAATAGCAGTAAAAATGCTGCACATGTTCATTGCAGGGAGGGATTCAGTGTACACAATATGCGATGGAACAGCTAACACAAATTAATCATTAACAGCTAAGACTGAGGCATCATCAGCATCATGGATGGGATATCGACAGAAAAAGAGAATGCGTCCACTGAGGAGGAAGAATTATAGGTACAACTAAAATTTGTATTCATCAGGTAAGGCCAACTGAGCTATATAGCTCGTTTTCAAAAGCGACCAAGCCACAAAAGATAGCTCAACACAGTGGTTTATCACGTGGACATGTATAGCAGCCAACTAATCTAAACGCACGTTGATTCTCAATGTGGAGGGAAAAACTGGAGGACCCAGAAAAAAACTCCTGCATACCAGGCGAGGGAGATAACATCAATTTTGATATGATGCTTTTGTGACTCAGGAATCCATACTCTTTGTTTCTTTCGGTAAGGCCACGTAGGTAGAAAAAATAATAGATCACGACATTTCGATCACCACACAAGCAATCGTCTTCAGGTGGGAGAGCAGCCTGTTTGGCTGCTGAAACAAGTCCTTATATATAGAGCCGAGAGGGGGGAGGGGGGTGCCGCATCGGGCAAGAGGGAGGGGGCTAGAGATTGTGCCTAAGCGAGTGGGAAATCCAAAGATGGGAACCGAGATGAGGGAGGAAGGGGGGGTTGTGGTTGATGCACCTCCACAACGACGAAGAGATGAGGAGGTGGCCATTGTATTGTGAGAGATTAGCATGTCAATGTGTAGTGAGTCCAACTGAGTCGCAGACATTGTCTTGGGAGCAACACTATTTATTCACATACAGCACGAACATAACACAACCTACGCTCGGGTCTCGAATGCCCATCTAACCACGCTACGGCAGAACGAGACACGGTTCGCTATCCCGGTCCGGACCACAAGCTGGGTCCCGGACTGCATGGCTAGAGGCTTCTTCTCCCCGACATGGATCTTCAAACACCAACACTTGAAGAACCTCCGAGCTCCTCACGGAGCTCTCGTTATATGTTCCCGGGCTGGGGCTGGCTCCGCCCTTAGCCCCGCCCACCTTCCAGGCTCCTCGGGCTCCTTCTCGAATGTTCCCGAGAGCTCCTCGGGCTCCTTCTCGAATGTTCCCAAGAACTCTCCGGGACCACGTGACCGCCCCTCGGCCCCCGTCCACGGGTTGCCCCCCTCCAGTATCGTCCGGTCACGTGACAACAGGTCAGCCAGAGTGTCATGCCCCAGAGTAACCCTGGCTGTCTGACGCTCGCTCTCGCTCCCTCACTGGAGCCGGCACCGCTCACCCAACCACCGTTAGTGTTGGTACTGCAGCCCGCAACCCGGGCTGCCCGCAATGACAACATTAACAGCCGTGACTTCGCAAATCCCGGCACCACACCGTGACAAGTACAGTCACTACAAATGTAAACGAACCAACGCAACGGTGACTGTGCTAGTGAGACATCCAGCTCGTTAGAAAACGAGGGAAACAAACGAGGGACAACACCACATCGAGGGGAGGAGAGAGAGACACACACCGAGAGGCGCACCCACACACACAGAGAGAGACACACACACAACACACACAGAGAGACACATATATAGAGACACACACAGACAGAGACACACACACACAGAGACACAGAGAGAGAGGCACACACACAGACACATATATATAGAGACACAGAGAAAGACACACACACAGAGTGAGACACACACACAAAGAAACAAACACACAGAGAGAGACACACACACAACAACATCACAGTTATAGTCTGATAAGAGACGAGAGCCACCGCCACATCGAGGGAAAGAGGCAACGTTGGCCCTGTTTGTGAGACATTTAGCCCGATAATGTAAAGACATTTAACTTGGTAATGCGACTCAAGAGTGTCGAAATTAACTGCTGACAATGGCAGGTAGGATGAAAACATCAACAACCAGTTAAGGCTTTACCTGGTTAATAACGTCCTTCCAATGATTGCTCAATTTGTACCCATCTTCTCGGTTGAAGTTATGTCTGTGTTAAAATATCTGTATGGCTTCATGAACAAATCTTTGATGGTAGCCCCAAGGTTTGCAGAGTACCTTGGTCTCGGAAAAAACAATGTCGTGTGAGCCCACCGCGTTCAAGCAGTGATCAGCCACGGCAGAGGTAATGGTTCTGCCGTGTTTCAAATCTGCCTTGTGTTCGCGAACACGGTCCGAGACATGTCGTTTAATTTCCCCAATGTATAACAGGACCCTGCGGGGTGGGCTGGTAGGAATAATACTAATACCGGTACAGGGATATCGACCGGGTATAGAGGAGTTAAAAAGAAAATGATTTGTGCATGGGGGGTGAGCGATGACGTCCACACCCCCCTCCCCACTGACTCGCGCGCACACAGAGCAAGGATTGCAACACGCGATGTCATTGGCTGCGCCGGATGCGACGGCCATCTTGTTTAGTTCATTTAGTTCACGGATCGCAGGGGGAGCGGGCGGCCATCTTGTCAGACAGAGGGACGGCCTCGCGAAGCCTGTCGCAGTAGGCCTCGCGAAGCCTCCTGCACTAGGCCTCGCGAAGCCTGTCGCAGTAGGCCTCGCGAAGCCTTCTGCACTAGGCCTCGCGAAACCTTCTCTGCAATAGGCCTCGCGAAGCCTTCTCTGCAGTAGGCCTCGCGAAGCCTGTCGCAGTAGGCCTCGCGAAGCCTTCTGCACTAGGCCTCGCGAAGCCTTCCCTGCAGTAGGCCTGGCGAAGCCTTCTCTGCAGTAGGCCTCGCGAAGCCTTCCCTGCAGTAGGCCTCGCGAAGCCTTCTCTGCCGTAGGCCTCGCGAAGCCTTCACTGCAGTAGGCCTCGCGAAGCCTTCTCTGCAGTAGGCCTCGCGAAGCCTTCCCTGCAGTAGGCCTCGCGAAGCCTTCTCTGCAGTAGGCCTCGCGAAGCCTTCCCTGCAGTAGGCCTCGCGAAGCCTTCTCTGCAGTAGGCCTCGCGAAGCCTTCCCTGCAGTAGGCCTCGCGAAGCCTTCCCTGCAGTAGGCCTCGCGAAGCCTTCTCTGCAGTAGGCCTCGCGAAGCCTTCCCTGCAGTAGGCCTCGCGAAGCCTTCTCTGCAGTAGGCCTCGCGAAGCCTTCCCTGCAGTAGGCCTCGCGAAGCCTTCTCTGCAGTAGGCCTCGCGAAGCCTGCCGCACTAGGCCCCGCGCCGTGCTTTTCGTGCACAAATAAGGCGATTAAATGTATCTTGTCTCTGTGTTAATAAATGTATCTTGTCTCTGTGTTAAAAAAAACGTGCTGCGTTTTAGTAAAATAAATTTGAAGCGAAGTTTATTATTACACTTGTTAAGCCAGGAAAGCCCCACTGAGTCAAAAGGTTTTTGTAGGGTCCTGCCAAGTGTTTGCAGTAGGGGGCGATGTTGCTACACCAAATCGGACAATACGAAGGGAGAGATTGAGGCCTAGTTCTAGGCTTTAGGCCTAGCTGTAGGCTTTAGGGCGCTGTGAGTTAATTTTTAATTTAAATGTTTTAATGATTTATATAAAAGCTTTAAATTTAAATGTTTCTATTTAAAAACATGAGGGAATGTAACATTGTTAAACATAACTCCCTTTCACACACGCGGGGGTATGATACGAAGGGAGAGTTTCAGGCCTAGTTCTAGGCTTTAGGCCTAGCTGTAGGCTTTAGGGCGCTGTGAGTTTTTTTTATTTAATTTCAAAGTTTTAATTAAAAGCTATCTCAGGGAATAAGGGAATGTTACACATGTCATGCCAAGTGTTTGCAGTAGGAGGCGATGTTGCTACCAGGATAGCGTCACTGAGTCTAAATGTTTTTGTAGTGTCATGCCAAGTGTTTGCAGTAGGGGGCGATGTTGATACACGGACGGACGGACGGACGGACAGTCGGACGGACGGACAGACAGACACATTAATCTATTGGTGGTCTGGTCCAGTTCGTTCCTACCAGTATTAGTATCTACTGACTATATTAGTACCTACTGACACTATAGTAGTAACTACTGACTCAATAGCAGTATCTAGGACTCTATAGCAGTATCTATTGACTCTACAGTAGTATCTATGGACTGCAGTAGTATTTATTGACTCTGCAGTAGTATCTACTGACTCTACAGTAGTAGCTACTGACTATAGTAGTCTAATTACAGTAGAGTCAACCTGCGGTGTGAGTGGACTAGAGGCCATGGGAGGTATTGGCAGAGGAGTCAGCTGACAGTGCGAATGGACTAGCAGCCACGAGAGGTAATGACAGGGGTGTTAGCTTGCATTACGAAGGGATAGGTGGCTACGGGAATGATCGAGAATAGGAGCGTGGTCATGTGACGGAAGAGGACGGTAGAGTCTGCTGGTGGAGCGAGCATCTAGAGCCAGCGAGATGGATTGAGAATGGGGTGGCGTGGCCTCTGTATATACTGTAAGGGAGATGCGCGGGATACCCGGGGCAGTTGTAGTGGGGTCTCCGCCTGTTCGAGTGAATGTGTCTCTACAATAAAGAAACCATCTCAAGACAAGTGTGTCAAGGCGTCATTACAGTAGTAACTGCACACATTGGGGAGCGGG